AGACTTCACAGAACTTAGCTGCAACTGTCACTGAGCTGTAGGTGCTATTATTTTGAGAACTAGTGGATTTGTAGTTGGCTTGTTCAGAATAATTTTAACTGCTATGGAATAATGTTCAGATTACTGATACTGAAAAGCAGTATAAAACCTGTAAAGCTTCTAGGATATTTTTGTTGTCCTTTTTTGTAACTGGAGATTAGAATTTAAAAAAAAAATACAAACTTGAATGTGTGAATAAACTGAGATGGCACAGAGGAAGATGTTGGATTTAGAAGCCATGGAAACTCTCTCAGTTCTGTTGTAAGACTTCTGTAGTTTTGGGGGTGGTATTCTAAAATAAATTGAAGATTTTAATTGGTACATCATGAAAGATGGTAACTGATATGCAGAGTTGTGTTTTGTGCCTTTTTTTCTCTTGAGAAGATGTGTAATGGGCATATGTGGGGCTGATACTCCTAAATTGCTATTACTCCATTAAAAATGTCCTCATCTGTCTTCAGGGCACTGATTTTAATACAAAAAATTGACGATTGCTTGCTTTCTAACTCATCTTTCAACAAATTTTATACTAATGCTCGTGCTAATAATGGAGTATTAAGTTCAGTGGCAAAATTGAAAAGCAAAGAAAACTGCCTGCCGTGAGAGGTGTCTGAGATACCTACCATTTTTTAAACAGGCAATCTTTGATAGATAGTTTTTGTTGCAAGTAATGCCACTGCTGTACTACCCTGGCACGCTGCTGCTCACAACTGTGTTCTAGAGGCCTGTTACCGATGTGTGCTTATCAGAGCAGATACGGTAGGTGATGTCAGAAGTTCACTTAGCCCAGTGTCCTGTCTCTGACAGTAGCCAATAGTTGATGTCTACTGAAGAGGCTAGAATGGAGCAAATACATAGGGTGGTCCCATCTCTGGAATGGTATCTCAGCTTCAAATACTTTTTGGCCAAGAAGAAACTCTGAGCCTACATGATGCATTAAATATGATGTGAAGTTGCCCTTTATGTTGTTGGACCCAGCATGCAAGTACAGGGGGGGTTAAATGATGGTTCGCCCCACTGCCCAAGGTCTAGAGTACTCAAAACTAGAATGTTGTATTTCTGTATCATATGTCCTTTTCAGGTCAGAGATACGATAGTGGGAAAATAATTTTGTTTTCTTGCATATCTGTCCCCATTTTATTATGTATAAGAATATGTACATTTCTTTTGTAGCCACGTCATGAATACTTTAATGTCCCAGTGTACTAAATGGCTTCATTCATCATGCATGCAGAATTTCAGAGGAGATAGACCTGTGACTTACTCATGGCAGAACATTATCATCAGCTTGGTGAATCCAGTCATCTTGAATCTAATAGAATACCACAACCATTCTCTGCTGTTGTACTTTCCTCTTCCCCTCTGTTTTACAGTGTTGTCTCTTCACATGTCTCATTTCAACAAAACTTGCGCTTGTTGGCATATGGTTTAACTTTTTTATTGTGTGTAAGCTTGAAGTCTTATGCTTAAAAGTTCTGTAGCGTTTTCTGAGCTAAACATCTATATACTGCAACACCTATGCTGTAACATTACTTGACCTGTTTCTTTCAAATAAGTTGTGGTGGTATTTAAACACACACTTAAAATCTGTAGATGACGTTGATATTTACAGAGAAACTAGTGAAGGAGGAGTAGTATGTGAAATGTGTATACACACAAGTATTAAATAATGTTGCACACAATTCTACAACAGACTTTGCATCTTAATGAACGATGCACATACCAGTATCCTCTTCTGAGACTGGCACGATAGTGTGACTTACCTTATAAAGAGGAGGAAGGCAGAACTGATTAGAGCAAAGAGAAGGACGTACATAAATCTGAAGTTGCAACACTTGTATTTAAATGTTCAAAACACTCTTGCGAGTGGTTGAACAATTGCTGCTACTGAAGGAGAGAACAAGTTCATTGCTTTACAGATGGTTAGGGTTGGAAAGATTTAGGTCCATTAAGTGCATGCTTGAAATATGTCTCCTTCAATTGGCATTTCCAGTTTTAAGTGCAGACTACCTTGTATATTAGAGAACTGCCGAGAGGATGAATATGATAAGTACCTTTCAATTAAAAAGTGTGGGCAGAGTGACAGGGCATGTATTGCATCCCTTGTTTGCCTAGTAGAAGAGAATAATTTGTAACCTAAAACCAGTGCTGTTCTTGAGAATTGTTTAAATGTCATTAGCAAGGAGGTGGATACTGAGATTAACCACAAATAGCTAGTTCCACGTACTGTATGTGGTAATGCACTACCTTTCAAATGTTAAACTGACATAAAAATCAGAGATTTAGGGGATTAGATAAAAGATTTGGATTGGACTTGCAGCATTCTGAAATCTTAGAAAACAAGATCCTAGGAGTGGTTTTCCATTTCCAAGTTTGCCTTTTTTCTGTAAGACATTAACAGCGTGTTTGAATGTCTGGTTAATGCTGCTTTAGCCTGCATTATTTCATGCCTGTTGGCTTAAAATGCTGTGCATTGAGCTGTAATGAGATGCTGTTTTTCTTGTTATCTGTATACAGCTGCTTGCTTCTAAATGACTAGGTAATGAATTAGCTTTCCTGGCATGTTTGAAATAAAGTATTGCATGCACTTTTGTCTCATGTGAATGACTTTTTTTCCTCATCTGTGTTCTGATATATTTCAAATTTGCATTGTTTGCCTTGGGTGATTCTGAGCTGCAGGTAGTGTATAACACTGCAGAAGGTTTTCCATAACAATTGGAGAAAATGTTTGACACTTCCTAAAACAAATAATGTGAACAAGCCATAATACAATTCATTCTATTTGTTTCTTAAAAGTAGTAATTGATGAAGTTATTCCTCTAGCAAAACACATTAGCCTTCAGGTGTTCCTTTTGGGTTTGTATTGTTGATGTGCACATAAGAAGGCATGTCTGCCTCAAGGTTACTGCTGTAGTATTAAAATCTTGCTGAGTTTTACTGGTGTGGTGTCTGTGGACAAGTAGCCAATGTCCTTGAAGTACATTGCTTTACATTTATTGTTAGCCAATGACCTTGATTTACTTGAAGAAATCTAATCTTTACGTATATGCCTGTTGAAAATTACATACGACTTTGAATTGGCAGTGGAGATGACAGTGCTAACCTGCTCTAAAGGTGGTAGCAGCAGTGCTCTGTGTTTCTTCATAGCTTTTGAGCAACTTTTTCTTCAAGTAATTTAGTAAATACCCTGTTTCACCACTGAGTAACTGTAAGGGTCCACGGCTGGCTAATCAATTTAAAATTGTGAAAAGTATTCTATTACAAATATTTTCAAGACCCTGGAATGCTTGAGAAGTTATAGTCTGTTAGAATACTCTGAGTTCTGTTGCTATAGTTAAGAATGTAGGATTCTTCTTGAGTAAATGGCTTTAAGTTGGTGGATGGGAGAGACGCATGTCCTCTAAAATGAATGCAACAAAGTAATCTGGGGGTATAATATGACAGGTTATATAAAAAAATGCTACAAAGCCTTTTCTTCAGTCAGTGTCTCCTTTTGGGGGATTTGTGTTAAAATACACACGCAGATCTTTAATCCTGCCATCCTGTCTGGCTTGATCAAGGTCACTGCAGTTCCAAGAATACTTAAATACTGCATCAGTGAGAAAAAACCCCCACTATCTTTAATACACTGAGTATTGGATCTTGTTTCCAGTCACAACTTGCCTTTTTCTTGCAATTTCTTATTTGCTGCTGGATTTTGGAAGCCATTTAAAGGTTGGACTCAATGATCTCAAAGGTCTTTTCCAACCAAAGTGATTCTGTGATTCTATCTCGAAGTGCTCAGAGGTGGCCTGTTCCAAGCACTGACTGACTTTCAAATGAAGTTGGCTTTAGAAAGTCATGGCTTGTTCCTTCAATTTGAAATCGGCTTATACATGAACCGAATGAGGATTGTAAACTCAATTGTTTTGTGCTACATAGTCAAGGTTGATAAGAGATGATGTTCTGGTGTTATTTGCAAGACTTAAGGTGTTTAGCTGTGTGTGTTACCGACAGATTTTTAAAATAAATATTTAGAAAACAGTTGAAAATAATTTGTTTGCTGCCTTAACTATTATCTGCTTTTTTTCCTGCTTCATGACATGTCTTGTTTTAGGATGCTAAAGTAAGTTCATTCATACTCTGAATACTAAACCAGTTTATGTTTCTGTAAGGACACAGTATCCCTTTTTATTTAGTATGGTATTGTTAATAATTATGGAAAAGGACAGCCTAATGTTTCTAACTAAACTATGTCTTTTCAGATGCTATAGGAATAACGAATACAAAACTGATGATAACCCTTTGGAATTTTGTAATAAACAACTTGCTCTGAATCTAGGCAAAGCTTTTTAAGTTCAGGATTAACCTAAAACTTTCTGCCTGGTGTGGAATAATGCAATTCCAACCCTGGCAATTCCTCTACTTCTGGACGGGTCCATTTATTGACACCAGGTACATAGAGGTGCCTTGGCCTGGTTTTATGAAGTAAGCATGGGACCGGTGTAAAAAATTTAAACTCTTTATAAAAAGAGCCTGAGGGGATACTGTATCTTAGTTGTGTCACTCATTTCATTCATCCGTGTACTCGTTCGTCCCTAACAGATTTTTGAGACCCATGAAACGACTCACTGCAAAAATCACTGACTCCATCTCAAGATGCTTCCCCATCCCCCCTGCCAATTCATATCTCTGTTACTGGGTTGTGATTTGTCCCCTGCTGGTACATCTGAATTGCTTTATTTTTATTATGCTTAAGGGCAATAAAACCTACCAGCTGTTCCTGCGAACCATGACAATCTAATTAACAGCTCTTTGAAAAGTGTGGCTAATACCATGTTTGCAAACTGCAGTACTTCTGTATTTTCATGTCTTTCAGCTTTTCTTTTTTAATTAAGCATCTTTCATACTAACTCATGTATGGTACTGCTCAGTAGAAGCATGGGGTCCATTTACCACTGTCTCAAATTTTCCCTCCATAGGAAGCAGAGACCCCACGTAGTGTACTTGAAGAAATTGGATTGACATAGATCTTCACTTCAGCTGATGACATCTCAGTGTTTCATACTGTAAATGTTCACTGCCTTCATTGTAATGTTTAGCTAATGGTGTAAGATGCTGTTTGTCAGTATTACTGTTTTGCTAAGCTGCTTCATTCAGGCCTACAAGCAAAATGCTCCTTTGAAAAGGGAACAAGAAACTAAACTCCAAAAAACACAAATGAAAGGGAATTAGATTTAAATCGACTCAGTGTCTCCCTTCACTGCATTTACAGGAAAATTGCGTTTGACTTCAGTAAGTGTACTGTTTTTTATAAGCAAACTTGACTTCAGGAAATAAATGCATCATTATGACACAGCATATCTAACTGAAAAGAAACTACATGGACAACTCCAAATATGAAATGTTATGGTGTAGAAATTGTGTTTATGCAACCAAAGACTTCTGTTCATCTACATTTTAGTTGCCACGTGTGACAATTCTGCTTATTTCAGTTGATGCATAAAGATTAGGAATACCTGTTTACTACTGAATTTGTCATTATACCAAAGAATCCTGTTAGGATCTGCATATCAAACTGGTAAAACTGTTAAGGTGAATACTGCTTTTTGCAAGGAAACTGCAAACTGATCAACTTGCTAGAAATGAAAGGTGTATTTAAGTGTAGCTACCTTGAGCAAAACTCTGCAAGTTACTATACTAAAAAGGGAATGCATGTAGTAAAAAAGAAAAAAAAAAATCCAAGATAAGGAAACTATTTTTTAGGTCTGATACTAGCTTGCTCTGAGCATAAAGCTGGGAAAGGACATAGGCTTACCCTTTATAGAGGGGTTCATGATGAAAATTGGATACTTTTGAAGGTGGGAAAGGAGGAGCTTTACAAAAGGGAATTTTTATTGTTTTCTTTCAAACTCTACAAATTAATTTGTATTTATTGGTGTTTTATAATTATGCTTTGATGGGTGTATAGGCACCTTTAAAAAAAAAAAAAATAACCAAAACCAAACCACACTGTAAGTGTCAGTGTCATTTGAGCTGCTTTTCTGGGCTTACACCTTCACCGTGTGACACGTCCCTTATGCTGCACCCCCTGCGTGCTGTACAGCTGAACCAACCGATCTGCAGTGAGAGCTTCTAAATAGTAGGTTTGTATAGCAGGCTCACTGCCAATCGTGTAAGGTTGATACCGGGGTAATATTTTGACACTTCTAGCAGACTTTGAGTAATTATAAACTAAACCTGTGTTTTAAATTCAAGTCATGTATGCTTTTGAGTTTTGAGGAGGTAGCGCCAGACTTCGGAGTAGCCAAGTTCTGCTGCACACCTGCGTCGTCCCCCAGCAGGTGGGGGCTGTTCCCCTCCTCTCCTTCCCCAGTATCTTCACTCTGGGAGTCACGTTTTGGCTTGCTCACTTGCGTAAATTTTTATTGTTTTCTTTCAAACTCTACAAATTAATTTGTATTTATTGGTGTTTTATAATTATGCTTTGATGGGTGTATAGGCACCTTTAAAAAAAAAAAAAAATAACCAAAACCAAACCACACTGTAAGTGTCAGTGTCATTTGAGCTGCTTTTCTGGGCTTACACCTTCACCGTGTGACACGTCCCTTATGCTGCACCCCCTGCGTGCTGTACAGCTGAACCAACCGATCTGCAGTGAGAGCTTCTAAATAGTAGGTTTGTATAGCAGGCTCACTGCCAATCGTGTAAGGTTGATACCGGGGTAATATTTTGACACTTCTAGCAGACTTTGAGTAATTATAAACTAAACCTGTGTTTTAAATTCAAGTCATGTATGCTTTTGAGTTTTGAGGAGGTAGCGCCAGACTTCGGAGTAGCCAAGTTCTGCTGCACACCTGCGTCGTCCCCCAGCAGGTGGGGGCTGTTCCCCTCCTCTCCTTCCCCAGTATCTTCACTCTGGGAGTCACGTTTTGGCTTGCTCACTTGCGTAAGCGGTGCCACCTTTTCACAAAGCCTGGCTTTGGTGTGGTGGCTGGAAGGGGTCACACGCTGCTAGCGTCAGCTTTTACGCAGCCCTCTGCAGAGCTGGGCCGGGGGCTTTGCGGGATTTAGGGTAAACGTAGGCCCCCAGGAAAGGCTCAGCCTGGCCACGCTTGCGAGCCCCCTGTTCCAGGGGCGGGTATAAACGCTTGTGGCAGCAGCAGGGCCAGTGGGGCAGGGGTGGGTCTGCATGCCTCCGTGGCAGTGCCAGGGTGGAGCCTGTGAACTCTGAGTGTTAGAATTTGTCTAGTTAGGCCCTTCTGGAGGTTTAAAGATACCCGATGGCTGGAGACCGTTTCTAACCAAGGGCATGCAAAAGCAGTGGCGTGCATTTCCCTGGGTGCAGAAGGTGCAGGGATAGGTGAGGTTGAGGTGGTAGCAGAATGACCCCGTGTGTGAGACTGAAGGGGTGGAATTACCTTAAGTCAAACCCGTAAGCGATTTTCTATGTGTTAAACATGTTTTTAAAGTTTACACTGTCACTTGTATGTGCTTGGCTGGATTAAGCTTTGTTGTGATTGTGACAAATAAACTGTTTGACCTCTGTCTGTCACATTGGTTTAGTTGTAATAAATGTCCATTTTTACACCATTGCTTTGTGTTTATATGTAATTAGTTCTGGTTTTTGCAGAGGAAAGAAGAGGCTACTCAGTACTTGCTTAAAAAAAAGGGAAATTTTATTACAGTGCTTAACCTGTTCTTGAGCACTTTATTAAAAAAAGTGAGTATACTGCGTCCAAGATTAGTTATTTACATCCATTTAAATTGTACAGAAAGCAATAAATTAGCAAGTTTTTGGAAGGCTTACCACATTAAACATGGAATTTATTAAAGTGGATGTTAAATTGATGCGGTAGTGCCACTTCATTTGAAAATTAAAACAAACCACATGTCGATTGAGGGTTCTGGGTAATACAGACTCAATATTCAGTTCCTTACATGGAGTTATGAGCAATGTTCACAGTCCTAGTCTCGACCAAAAATTTCTGAGATTAATCTGTTCTTCAGCCTTCTAGAAGAACTGAACCGTTTGATGTTACCAGGAAAAGCAAGGAGAAGACTTACCCTCTTAGGGCATTTCTTAAATCTAATTTGAAAGAAAATTTTCTTTCTTAAATTTCCTGTCTTAGAGGGAAGGGGCAGGGGGGAGCTAAAGGATCAATTAGAATTGTCTGGATTGTTTAGGCAAGTGATTGTTGGCTTGAGTGTCCTCAACTTCATCACCAAGTCTTAGTCTTTAACAGGAGGAGGCCAGCCCTAACGGCCGCTGTTCCTTTTTGCATTGACGCCGTGATACCAGGCGGTTGCCCCGTGGCTGCCTTTGCTAAGTTGCCACGGGGCATGGGGTTCTGCGTGTGCAGCTTGCTTTGTGATCAGTCTCGTAGTTCACTGCAGCGTGATTTGTCGATGTCATCTTTTTTTTTTTTTTTTTAATCAGAGATACCAAATTCAACTGATACATCACTGCTGAATAGAAGGATATGTGGAATAATAGGGTTTTATTTTAATTACAATGAACTTACAAGTGAAAGCAAAATCAGCTGCGCTCTTTAGATGACGTAAGAAAGTAAATTAAGCTTTGAAGTTATTAACTAGCATGGACTTTCACCGTTTGTAAGAAGTGCCGATCCAGGACAGGAAGCAATAGCATCTGTAAGTGGGCTCTTGCATTTCTTTTGAAAAAAACATAAAAAATGTTACTTAGTGCACGGGAATGTCACTGGTAGACTTCAGGGCAATTTCTGATGCGCTGGATGTGGTCATGCACAACTCAACCCGAGAGCGCCGTGCTGTCATCAGCGGGCGGGAAGCGGCTTGGGTGCGTTTCGGCTGAGCAAGGGAGGGGGAAGAGGGAAGGGAAGAGGGAAGGGCCTTTTCTGGCCGCAGCAAGGTCAGCCTTGTCCTCGGCAGGTGGGCGCGCACCGCCCCGCGAGGGCGGGCAGCTGCTCTGGCCAGGCAGAGCGGGCAATGGCACCGGAGCAGCTGCCGGCCGCAACTCGAGGGCAGGCCGCAGCCCGGGGGCC